TTGGGGAGGGGGAGATGCTTTCATGTTGCAATGTGACCCAAACACTGCAAACTCAAATACGCCACCACCCACTTGGGTAATATCTGAGTGGTAGGTTTTTGAGATTTGCCTTCTAGGGTAGAGACCCTCAGCTGATGTAAATTGGCACGGTCCCATTTAAATCAATGGCACTGCTGAGTGCAGTCAATAGAGCAGTTCCCATTGGCAATAGCAAAGGGTTTGGTCCTGCTTTTACCTATGGATTGGGTGCTGTTTCAGGAATTTCCAAAGGATTTTCTTTTGTTTGGGAGTGTAAAAGCAAGAAGAAGAGAGTGCAATAGCCAATCAAAGGGTAAAATAGCAAAATAAGTCACAGAATAGCAAAACACCTTGATGCACAGTTGATGCCTCATTGTCATAAAAAGACTGAACTGGGTTTCTAAAATGGTGCAATATTGTTCCAAACTGCTGATAAACTACATCACCAGAGCGAAGAGTGGTTGAAACTTCATCTGCTCTCAGACTGGATTTCATACTAGTAACAGAACCAAAAGGGCTACAACAATTTTCTCAGGAATAAATTGTTCTTTCTGAAACAAAGTTATGTGCGGCAGGGCTTGGCGAAGTGTTTGATGCAGAGGTCTGTAAACAAGAAGCAAAGTGGTCAGCTTGAATTTATTTGTATTTTGCTTCGATGTCTAATAGAATCTCATAATCTCCAAGTGTTTGTGCCGGCCAGGTTTATCGGTCTGAGCCATCTTTAATTCAGGAAGTCTAGAAGCCAATCAAAAGCTAACACAATATCTAGGGCAGATAAATCTTAAAGGACATTTGCAGAACTCTCTGTTCTTGAAATAAAATCGACTAGTACATCCATATCCCAAAAGGTGGTACACTATATCTAAATTTAACGAGGTCTCACTAGAAAAGCAGGTGATGGAATATTTTCCATTTAAAAAATTTGAAAAAAAGCTATCGGTTTTATGAAATGAATCTTGAGATGATCGCCCTGAAGATATTTAGAACAGCACAATATTAACTATGCATCTTCCACAGACACCACCTAGATATTTTTTTAGTCTCATCTCTAATTTTACAATAATTACTGGCACTACACTTTATATAATAATCTTAAATAATTGAGGACATCAGTTTGAACTTCAGTTCTCTCTTAAAAGTTATAGCCCCAGTAATTCCTAATTCATAAAAAAATAGTTGAAGGGTTTATTATGCTTCAACTTCAGATTCCCAAGTACATAGGAATCCTTCTGGCAAGACGACATATGAGGTCTGCGATTAATAAGAGATGTGTCTAATTTATGGGCTTTAGAGGGGCATTTGTAAAAATGAGTCCACATTTGGCACCTATTCCATGAATCTTAAGATATGATTGGACAGCCTGGGAGAAAAGGAGAACATGAGAAAAATACTGGCTTTTAAACCTAAATGTAGATTAAGCAAAAAAAAAAAAAACCCTTCATCCCAGCCAGCATTGATCTTTTGCATTAAAAATATACCGCTCCTG